GTTCTGCCACCAGATCTTCGTATGGTACTCCATTTCTTACAGCACAGCGTGCCAACAACAAAGTGGTGATCGGTTGATAGCTCTGCGCTTCTCTTGACGCGAACATCCATTACTGAGCGTCTTAAGTCAGACGATTCGCTTATCAAATCGATCATCGACTTCTGTTCACAAGCTTCTCGGTACCAGGTGTACTGATGCACTTTTGGATTCTCGAAGAAGGTGTTCATAATGGACAATAAGTTGTTTGCAGAAAACCGCAACAGCTTCATGCCGTTATTGTTGAGGTCGCTAAGGCCGTTTTTTCCAATCACTCGGTTCCTTTATTCAGCGTCTACTCTGACATACGCATTAAAATTGTGTAAAATATAAAAAAATAAAATAAAATAAACTATTTTGCAGGTCTGTAGTTTTGTGCATATCTTATTCTTATGGGTTTTTATTATTGTTTCATTGTGGGCAGATTACTCAAGTAGTGCATAGACTGCTTATTACAGACAATACCACGCTGGCTTTTTACCAAATTGAGCAGTTGCTTAATGATGCTTTAAAATAAGTTTTTTAGGTATATTTCTATGCAAGCATCGTCGATACTCAGTTTCGAAAACGAGCTGCGGATTAAAGTTGAAGACTGCATATGTAAAGAAACAGGGCCTTTGAAAGTATGCTTCGAAGTCGCCTTCTGTTCCGTTATACAGTGCCTCTCTGAGGTGAGGTAGCGACTAATGTCATGATTGTATCCAGTTAATTGCTATTGTATTAGGAGTTCCTTCCGAGGTTTCTCAACAGCAAGTTCTATTCGAAGCTTCTTCAGGATCTGTATAGCGCAGCTAATAATGACCAGGACCTTGCATTAAGTCTTGGTAAGTCTACCAACTCTTTTCTCAGTTTTTATGTAGGAACTTAAAAAATGCCTTTTTCCTTCCCTCTTAGTAGTACTGACTAGTCTCTCTCCGGGAAGGATGAAAGGCATGTATTCTGGACGATATTCACACCCGCGATCGGCGTTATACAGATCTTCTGGCTGCCCACGCCTAACTGATGTAGTATACTGTTTCATGATATGGAACTGTAAGAGACTGTTGGAAAATTCTTCGATCTTCGCTTCGTTCGTAACATAAGGATAACTGCGTAATACCATTGATATCAGATACTGAATCTTATTTATTAGTCGCTGATGTCCAACATAAATGAGTTTACTATGTCGAAGTTTAACTGTTAATTTATACTCAATTTTTATACTGTTGTATTGTCTTTAATATTTCAGTATGTACTAGTGTATTAAACTGTATTTATGTATTTTCACTGCGTGCGTCTTGGTGATTAAAGCTAAGAAATGGTGATTGCCAGGACTAATTTTGTCGATAAATTTCCCCTAACTGTGAGCGGTTGGCAAGCAGCTAACGATTCGAAAGTTAACATTATGAAGATATTGTTTTTACCAAATGACAGCATTAGATGGAATTTGAGCCGGTTGAAATAGCGGTATTAACAAAATGTGACCAGAATTAAGTACGATAATTTTGTCGAATGCCAAATTGAGGAACAGGCTACACTTGTGTGAGAGCTAACGAATAGCTGCACATCAGCTGTACGGAATGTTTGTCCACTGCCAAGAACAGACTTTGATGGGCTTGCCAAGTAAGTACTTTAAGAAAACAGTGGGTATAAAACGAACAGGTTAGCTGCCATCAAGTTCGTTTACTGCCTTCAGGAAATGTTCAGTTCATTCAGGAAATCACTGACTCGTAGTTTAAGTAGGTCAAATGCCGAAGAATAAAAAGTGCGTAGGTTTTCTTCTGCCAAACCGTTCACTGTGCTGTGATAAAGAACATACTACTGTGCCATAGGTATAAAATTTCTAGTTTCCTATGCGTTGCTGGGTGGCACCGTTATATAATATTTTCTGTGGATATGTTACATAATTCCCTTGCACTAAGAAAGCAGAGTATAAAATGGCGATCAATCAGTACATCTTCTTCAATTTTCTGGTGATTATGATAGATGACGATTTGTATGAGGTTAAGTAGAACGACCTAAGTGATTACAATGATGCCGATAATGATGATAATAACCGATGATGACGATTCAGAGGATGAAGTAAATGAGAACGATGACTACGATATTGGTGATGGTAGCGGTTATGACGATGATTAGCAGGAGGATGATTATGATATTCGTGCCCACGTAGCGAATTTAGGTTTATCTTTAATTTTTTTCTGTGCGCATGCGCCGTCCACTGCTTCTGCGGTTAATGATCTGTGCATTACAGTGCAAAATAGGCAGTCGATGACGTATGCTCGTAGGTTTCGACGCCTTTGTTTTTCAGCATGCACCGCTTCAGAAGATCTGACCGGCCTGGAAGACTTGCCTAAGTTTTCGGCTAAGCTTAGCAGTACGGAGAGTTTGGTTCAAAGTTCAAGGTTTTGCGACAGTGGAAGTTTATGTAGCGTCGATTCCTTAACTTCAAAAAGCACCCTGAAGTATGTTTCGTTTTTTGTTGCATTGTATTTTGTGTTTCATGAATGGCGCGGCTTATTATTAGATTTGGCATCGCGCACTTGGATCCAATGGGCCGCTACATAAGGGACATATCAGAACTTCCAAAAAGCAGTGGTTCGCAAAGAAGTAAATTTTTGATTTGCTTTGTTTCGTTTCTTATCTCGTTTCTGTGCGCGTTAAAGTTGCCTCGGGGAATCACCTATCTTCTTTGATTCGTAAATGTGAAATCTGTTGTTTTCCTGCGACATGAAAGGGCATTATGTGGATGTTGCGTCTGTTTCTATAGATACTCGTTTTTACTGAAAGTGACGCATGTTTAAGGTCACGATTCATTACATTGTATTCCGTTGTTTGTAGGTGCCTTTTTCTCAGAAAAGCTTCGGAAGTTCATTCAACCAAATCAGACCGAGGTACTATTTACAGTTTTCGTTAAAAATAGCTTATCGTTTATTAGCTAACCTTATTTGATAATATTCTTTATCTATCCCATTCCTTTATCTAAAACTTGCTATGAGAATATAACTTTGTCTGGATGTCTAGACCTCAATCAGTCGATGGTCGCTAATCCTTTCGGTCTGGACAGGCAGCAGCATCAGACAATGTCTCGAACGTTTCCGATTGCATGCCAGCGTTTCAGCACCCGCAGAAGATATCCTTAGTCTGGAACAAAGTCCGTTGATGCACTCACCGCACTTCATTCTTGATCGTTCGCAAGGCCATTAGCCGGTCGGTTGCATGAAGCCGCTGTTTTGCTCTCATTTCTGGAAGCGTTCTCAAGGCATGTCCAAGCCATCGCAGTTCTGACTTCTCAGTCTGGAGAAGCAGCGGCTGAACATCAAGGTTCTCACGGATATCTGTACTCTTGAGCATGTTGATGTGCGTAAGCTCAGCTATTCACTGCAACAAGCCCGTTTGAGATGCCTGTACTCGATATCGCGGCTTCTTGATCATGACCCATGAATCCATGGCCCATAGGTGAACACGAGATAAAAGCCAACTTGAAAACTTACAGCTTCGTCTTCAGACTCAGCTCTGCATTAGCCACAACGGTTCGAGCTAATTCATAGAGAAGCCAGCCAGTCTCTTGCACATGTTTTCCATCATCGCCATGAACACAAACCCGAAGGACGTCAACTTCTCCATCTGTTCCGCTGCTGCCTCGTCTATCTACAGAGCGCTGTGACCAAGCAAACGAGAGGTCATGGGATATTTGGTTTGAGACACGTTCTCACTCATACCGATTATGTCTTACTGGGCTGGGAACCTTTCTAGAGAGTGCTAGAGATCTGTTTCACACGGAGCCAACAAAGCAAAATTGGTGAACTTCGATGACTCACTTTGTTTTATGATTCCATTGTGATGACTGCGCGAGGTCGCTTAATCAGAGTTTTGTAACTGTAGGTGGTCATCGGTATGAATTATTTGATTTAATCCCTTACGCTATACATTGATCGAAAGCTTTCAGTGAGCACAGTATGAAACTTTCGTGGTTAATATCAATTTCAAAGTTGTCTTCGTTTGACGATTTCACTGTGGCAGTTACGTAAGCTCAGTAAATCAGCCCTTGTCAACGTTAAGTTTAACAGTCATTAATTTATGGAAATCGCTCGCTGTTTTCTTTGTGACTAATTTCGTCATGTTATTTAATGAGGCTGACGTAATTATCACAAGTAAACTGTCAGTCAAGGATGACAACCTTGTCGAAAGTTTCATATGATCACACAGCTTTCGAGCGATGTATGATATTAGGGATTAAATCAGGTGATTGATTAGTGGCACCTTGCAATTATATAACCTTTGACACCCGATTATTTGACTGTGCAGTAACTTGGCGACCTCTTGCAGTCACGACGATGGAGTCATAACATAGAACGAAAATTATCAGCATTTACAGCTTGACAACGACATCGCATTGTAATCGCTAGAACTTTCCAGTGGTGGGTGAAATCAAACAATTGGTATGGATGACCGCAAGACTGCGCGGTGACGTCATTGTCATCTTCATGTGGGGTATTAGGGTCAAGGAGACCGAATACCCAAATTGATGACGTATGACGCTTTGGTTTTTCAAAATGATTTAGGCGATGTTGATTGCTTCGGCAAGAGTCATTTTTCTCGTTGTTGACTTTCATCGCATAGTCCATACCATTGAACTGCAATAAGAAATTCACTAGTTTAACAAGACTTCATACTTCACTCACTGTTTATTGACATATCACGCAGTTGATGCCGCTGACCACTGTCCTTTTATAAAAATTCGTGGCGCAGGACCAATTGCTGACAACAGCAGCGGTCTGCACTAAAACAGTGTGTTCGAAAGGGTCAGAGATCGGATTCCGGTGCTTACTGATATCTTCATCTTCATGCGTATGTTCTTCAGACGTTTCCTTGCTGCTACGCTCCCTCTTACCAATTGCTGAAAGGCGTGAACCAGTTTATTTCAGCTGCCCAAATGGCTTGGTTGGGCTTGGTTGCCTGAACAGTGACCGAATCGGTGCAACTTTCGATGGTATTACGTTCACATGGCTAAGATTTCAGGCAAACTTTGTTGCAGTGCACAACCTTCCTCTCTAGTGCAGGCTCTTGATCGACAACGGCGGAGATATAGCACTATGAATTTCCAGTTTGGAAAGATTAAACTTGAAGAAAAAAATTTTTTCCAACAGTTTTTCACTTTGTGTAAGTTAAAAAGAAGCCAGTTAACATTAATGTTTTGAACAAAGACGTTCGAATAAATTTACGATTTTTTGATGCAGTCGTTTTTAGGGAAAGCTGTAGTCATCTTCAGGATCAAAGCTAAAAATGAACTAGGATTTACATACGTTAGTACAACGTTCAGCTTGTTTGCTAGTGAATTGTATTGCTTGTTGTTTTGTCATCGTCATCTGAGGTTATCAGAGCTTAAACCCAAATTTTTGTCAGAAGGTCAGATTTCTTCTTAAAAGCACTCGTACTTCTCTGTAAATGTAAACCGTGTGTTAAACTTTTTCCATACTTATAGTTTTGCCCTCTCCCCATGAAGATCGCTTGTAGTCGAAGCATGTCATGGTAGTAAAGTTTTTGTGTTCTGATCAAATCATTGTGTTCAAATGCATCGCCTAAAAAGATTGTCAATTTATTTAGCGTGGCACCAACTCGAGAAACTTGTAAAGTTTAAAATTAACCGGGGTTTGCTACAGTATGCGCAGCTTTGTCGGTAGAGTTGTTGAAACGTAATTAATTTAATTTTATATTACAGTGCATCATAATGCTACATCGTTTGTCAGTTGCTCTTACTAATAGGAACAGGTATGGATGGCCGAACAAGTAGCTGAACTGATCGTGGAGGACATAAAACGGATGACCGCCAGCGCAAACGCGCTTTCGCAAAACACTCAGCTGTGATACAAAATTTATTGTGATAATTTTTGGGCAGAAGCCCAACCTGACAGCTCTTTTGCTACTTAATGTTTCAAGCGCGCATCGACAGTTTTGTTAGCATTCATTTGTCTGATGGAAAGCTGTTTGAATTTTCTTGCAATAAAAACATTCGAGAAGTAATTAGTTGTAAACAATCGCTTTCGTGATTATGCAAATGAATTGACACGTATTATAACAATTCGCTGAATCATCGATGTGCCTCTTGTTGTTTCAAGTCGCGATCGTACGACGAAATGCCTTCGTTTTCCATTTTTTCTCAGTGTAACATACTCAAATTTTACCGACCGTTTAGATGCATCCATCAACGAGTAACTGCACATCTACCAAAAAGTATGATGGATATTGGTCTATCTGTTACTTGCTTCAAATGACCGGTTTTTTTAAAGTTTCTGTTACTTCATGCATATTTGAATAAGGCAATGCAGTGGTCCTGCAAGGACGAGTGCAAGTACATGCGATGTGCATGATCGAGTTATTGACTCATCTGTCCATGAGCTATTTTTAGTTATTTGGAAAGATGATTTCTTTGGGGAAATTTTGGTTTAGTGCAGGCTAGTTTGTCTCACTGACGATGATCAATTACGTGGATGCGATACACATTTATTCGTAGCTACAGAGGTGTAAATACCATCTTGTTTAATTGGTCTACGCGATTAATTCTGTTCATGACTTTACCACAGCACTTTTACTTCAGTTTCCATAGTTATTCGTTTTACTAATGGTTTAGGTTCAGTCCGTGGTTAGAGAGAATCAACAAATTACGGTTACCTTATTGATAAAAAGTAACAGCTCTGCTGTAGACGCTACTAGTAGGTTAGTTTTTGTTGCTTGAATAGCATCTTATCGATATCGAAGGCAGTGTACATATCTTTAATTTTTTAAAATTATATTTGCGGTTCGTTCCTTGCGCTGAATTAGTCAGCTATCATGTGTTAAGGCGAATTACAGCAGTACAGAAAACTTGTATGCTCTGGTTTGATTACATCGAAACACCACGCTGCTTCCAATACTATTAACTACGACTAGTTTGGTACCACGTAGTCCAGGAGTAAGAAGTAAAAGTGATAACAAACTTAGATTCCCTTAGCTTCTGCTGGAAAGCTGTTGTAATAACTGGAAATAAATAAATGAAAATAAATAACAGTGGCCACCTACCATGCATATATTTTAAAATCTCATCTCTTGTTATTAGTTTGCTCATGCGTGTCAATCTATTTATCACTTTATTTACTTATAGATTAAGATATTTTTTACCAATATATTTAAGGTAGTTGTCTATCATGATACCCGTACATCAAATAGTCTATCGGATTACTTTCATTTGAACGAACGCCTGCCTTTGGTATCTTCGCGTCCATATCGCCAGTTACTGAGGTTTGTTTATATAACTAGCTAATTTATTTTCATCTGTTCAACTACCTCAGTATGTTTATAAATGCTGACCACCTTCTCGGTTTGTCGGAGTCTTTCTCTATGCTTGCCCGCATCTCCGCTTTTCACCATATCAGTATGATATGCTTATTTACCTGAGTGTTTCTGCGTATCAGTGTCAATCGTCAGTTTGTGTTTGCCGCTCTGTTCAAGTAACCACAGTGCGAAAACCTTTGGTTGTGCAACTCCTTTCATTGAACTGACATGATTGATGATTCACTGTCAGACCTATCTGCGGATATAAAACATATGCCATATGCCTTTGTATGAGGATGACTGTGCCAGGAACAGTCAGCAAAAAAAACCTGTTTGCAAATAGACTGGTTGTAGTGCGTTATAAACTGATGCCAAAGAGCTAAACGAACGACTGGTTCTGGAATTTCCTCAAAATATATATCAAGATATTTTCGAAAGTCTTAAATCCGCACAGGACTGTACTGACACTGAACTGGCTTCTTTCTTTTTTGCCAATTGTAGAACGACATTTTTTTCAAGAATTCTTGAACTCTTGACAGCTATACCCCTTTAAAATACTTTCCTGGCTTTCAGGTCTGCATTGAAATCTGCTGAAGTATGAAATTTACAGTCACGAATTCAAAAAGTGCCAATAGTCGTGACAAGACTACATGTAAATGTTGTCATATAAAGCGAGATTAAAGGTTACCACATCTCTTCTAGCGTATTTACGCTTGAAACCATTAAATTAAGTATTAGTATGGTGCGTTATGTAGTCAGACAAAAGATCTACAATAACAAGGACTGTTAAGAGAACATAGTATTATTATATGGGCTTTATCGCTCTTGATTTTAATGAAAGCAGCTTCTTCATTTTGCCACTTACTCGTATTCAGAAATAAACTTATTCCAAAAATAATAGTAATAATACAGATATGTACGATAAATATGAAACTGTACAAAACTTTATATTATTTATCACCTTCTACCTTATTGTCTGTTACGGCGCTAGCTGCCGTCGTTGCAGCCTGTGACGGTAAGTCACCGGCCACGTACGCGGGGCATTTTTGTTGTACTGATTTGTAAGCAGGGTCACCTTCTTTAGCACAAGTCTGTATGCCACATGGAGATTTTGGGGTATCATCAATAACAAGACCGTTGCTCTCAGGACTGGGTATTATGTCAGGAGGACTAACGGATATGGGAGAGCTGGTCTGCTGAGTCAACACCGTCTGTGCGAGAGGTCGCGTCATCGGTGGTCCCTGTTCTAACGAAGACGACGCGTTAAAGCCAAGTAAAACTGGACGTTGGTGAGTCACACACTGATTTTTCTGGTCAGTGGTGAGGATTTTATTCTGAGCAGGTGGATCTGGCAGTAGCGTTTTCCTAGCATATGGACGAAAAGAAGTCGACGCTGGGTAGTCATTTTGCGGCGGAAAGATGCCAAGGGCGCCGACTGACTGTGGTTGAAGTGGCGGCGTCGGAACGTGCTTCAGAATGGACTTGGGTACCTTAGCCGTTGTCTGTTGAGAAGAGAACACCTTTCGAGCGGGGGACTTTGACTGTTCAGAATTCGGATTCGAATGGCTCAAGGTCGACTTGGCCACACACTCCTCACTCGCCTGCGTGTCGACTATCGGCTTCGCAGCACCGCCCACTGGCTCGGTCTGCTGCTGTTGAGCAACTGACTGAGAAGGAGGTAGTAATGAGCATGTACCGCCTCCCACCGATAGATTCGATGCGGAAGACACGGCGCCACCGCCGCCACCAGACGACTGCCCGGCCTTGGAACTGTCTTCGATCTTAGGTATCTTGAAGCCTTTGAGGCTCTTGCTGAAAAGAATGCCTTCCGAGCCTGAGAATACACGAGGCAGATCGTTAGAGCCCGGCCCGGAAGCAGACGTTGTTCCAGCGTTCGACGAAGGTTTCTGTGATGCCTTTTCGGAACTTTTCCTTTCGGCCGCAACTTCCGCCTGTTTCTGCTGTTTGGCAGCAGCTTTCTCGGTTTTGGACACAGCGCTACTTGACCTTACCCGCTGACGTGTCGGCTGTTCTCCGTGAACGCTGACCTGCTTCCTCAGCTTCTTGTCCTGTATCTTATGCTTAAGAACATCGAGCTTGTTCCCAGTTTGCAGCTTCTCTAACAACAAAACCGGATCCTTGTCAGACAGCGATTTCATGGGTAACGAAACCTGTGCGGAAGCTAGGCTTGAAAAGGTCAGCGGTGGCGAAGACCGCTTCAAGCTTAACATATTCGCCTTATTTTCAGCCCGCTGTTGCTTTGCGCTCGAAGAGGATGACGACTTTGATGAAGGCAACTTGATGATGCTGCTCTTCTTGATCACCAGCTTGATTCGCTCGCTGATCTCCACATTTTCTCCACTGCCGCTTTCGGCCAGAGCTTTCACCAGCGACACGGGTTCCTTCTTTTCTCCGCTCACCATTTCAGACAAGAATCTTGCCGACGACGAGGAAGACGATGTCCCCCCTTGGCCATTGCCGCCAGTGTCATCTTCTTTAAAGCGCTTGGCCGCAGAAGTCAATTCGTAGACGTCCTGCTCAGCAGATGCGTCCATCATCGACTCGTCTGCTGACTGTTCTGTATAGCTGTCGATCGTTCCAGTGCCAACCTTGTCCATCAACTTGCCTATGACGGCGTCCAGCGAGTTCTTTCTTTTGTGCAATTTGGAAGAACCGCTACCTGCAAACCCCATAGAAGCACTGACCATCAAAGAACCTATATCATTGGTGGCTGAATCATGGAAAACGTTGGATCCTCCTTTTGAACTGTCGAAAGAGCCGTAGTCTGACGAAACATTGCCGCTGGTAGAGCAGTAGTTCTTTTCAGTACCAGAGAAGCTCGAACTTGGGGTAGACGATGACAAGACATCGGTTTCCGTGTCCGCGAACGACGTCAGTTTCACATCGCTGAACACCGCTCTTACAACTGCCTGCATCTGCTTTCGCAGCGTCTCGTCCTTGAACCTCTCCGAGGCATCTGAGCCATCGCTTTCCAAACACGATTCTAATCGTTGCTGGTTGGACGTTGTCACAGTCGTCGCGGAGTCCTCACCCCTTGCCCCAGAGGAGACGGCGTGAAACCCTCGTCCATCATGCATTCCAAACACTGATGGCACAGTACATAGCTGCAGTTCGTAGCCGGACGCGTCCAGCGTGTCGTCGCCGCCGGTGGTCATCGGTATACCCTGCTGTTGCTGGCACAGTTTCAATGGCAGCTTCCTGGACAGAAAAGGGGCACCTCCAGCACCACTGCCGCTACTGCCAGGGTTCATCGCTACGTTGCGAATGTTATCGGCTGACAGAACGCGGGCTTTCCTCGGTCTGCGTTGGCCACCCGTTCCTCGTACCATTCGCTCCGCTTTTCGCATACCCTTCATGACCAGCTCCATAGTATGGTCAGCTACGTTGCCCATCGACTTGCGGGCGCGTCTCCGCCTGATCGATCCTCCGCGAGTGCCTAAGATGCCTCTTAAAGCCAAAGCGTTCCGCTGCTCCGCCCACGAACTGGCGTCCAGCTCCTCATTCACACGTCCTGATGTTGAAACACTGTGCAAATGGCCGGATAACGATGCCCGACCGTCTGTTTGACTACTCCAATGATGGTGGATGTCCAGGCCAGCTCCCAGATCGAAGGTGCTTGCAGATGCCTCGAAATCGAACACGTCTATGCTATCTGAGCGTGACGATGACGAACGTGGCTGAAGGCCGGTGGCGAAACCGGGTGACGACTG